TTCAACTCCCAGAATTCCCCAGCCAGCAAGGAGTTGAAGTCCACACATCTTCAAGCTGCCAAGGTTGAGAAACACTGTTGTAAGCCGTCCCAAGTCTTCTGCAGTGGGCAGCCATAATAAACTTAATAAATATAGTTTAGGTAAGCATGAGGCTTTTCTATCCTCTGTATTTCTTCACACACCTATCTTTGACTTCAAAGATGATGAATGTTAACCTTCACTGTTACGCGGGTGAAGACCCTACTCTGCATCCCGGCCAACTATATTAGCCGCATTTGCTTTTTCATTTTGAAATGGGGCCTGTAGCTACGTGACTGCTATTTTTTTAGCACGCTGCACACAGGCTCAGAAGCCCATCTTCTAACCATTCAGCTCCTGCTGAATTTAGGTCTTCAGGCTGTTTGGTGCCTGTGGTTGGGCTATCATTTCATAATAAAGAAATGAGAGTTTGTCGTCATAAACACGGAGCCGTTTTTCCCCCTGAAATACTCCGTTTTCTGGTCCAACCAGTTCAGGGAGTGTCTTAAAAGCAGCTGCAAATTCTGTTTCTGCAGTGGGGGGAAAATAAAGATGCACCTATCTGGTTGCCCAAAAGTCACAGTCAGTCTGGATTCACACAGCAAATTAACCTAGGGGAATGCCACCATGAGCTTAGAATATTGTGTGAACTAACTACGCCACGGTGTTCGTCCCAGAACAGGGTTTGGGGTTCAGCATATTACGTGAACATAAGAATTATATTTTTGTTAACCCAGGTTGTGTGAATGGAACTAGAGACTGCATTCCCCCAACACACTAAACCTGGCTCCTGAATTAACCCATGAATTAATACTTAACCTTGCTTTTGTGGCTTAACAGGTGGCGTGGCCCTACCCTGGGTGGCTAATGCATAGGTCTAAGTATTAATCCATTCGTCTAAATATTAATTCAGTATTAATTCATTTACGGAATACATTTAACCTGGTTACAAACCCAGCAGCGTCGTTCTCGCAACATGAGAAGCTTGGTGAACGTTAACCTTGCTTTTGTGGCTTAACAGGTTGCGTGGCCCCATCCTGGCTAGTTAATTCAAAGGTCTAACTTTCACCAAGCTTCCCACGTGCAAACGACGCTGCTGGGTTTGTAACTGGGTTAGATGTATTCTGTAAATGAAATCCATTCGTTTTATTTCTGTCCCCAGTGTAATGATGACCGTCAGTTCGGGAGAGCAAAACATGTGCTGAACAGAAAAGGAACAAGGTTTAAGTTCAGAGGTTTGCAGATAACTTGATACCCACATGCATGGGGCCACGGGACACGTTTTCAGTAATCACACGTGGCCCCGGGCTGCCAAGTTTACTTCAGCGTTGCAGACCTTGAATGTCCAGAAATAGCCTTCCTGTAAAGCAGAGACGTCACCTTGCCGACAAAGATCCGCATAGTCCAAGCTATGGTTTTTCCAGTAGTAATGTATGGCTGTGAGAGC